ATGAACTTCTTGCTGATCAACAAGGGATATTTTTTTTGCAATTGCCAGGACATGATAATGTGCATTATCTAATTAAAATAAGACGTAAAATATCAAAACAAATAAATTACTATTATTTATGAATAAATCTACACCAACCAATTCTTATCCTCCCGCCTGTTCCTATCTTGTCACAAAATTTAGGAAATAATTCTTAGCACCAATCAAAAAACACCAATCAAACACCAATCAAAGCAAACGTATCTTGTCACAGGAAGAAAAGTATACCTTGGAGATCAAAGGATTTTCCTCTACAACCTTTAGAAGTCCATCATCTGTAACTTTCACACAGTTTTTCAGAGCAAGAACCCTTAGCTGGCCATTCACTTTCGACGTAATTTTCATCAGAATATCGTCTGAAAGACGCGTGTTCAAAGGCGGTTCGACTACTACGTTAATCCATGGTAATATGTCATTGTTTACAGCATCCCTAAGTGATTTGCAGACTTGACTCATGGAGACAAGCTCAAAAACGGGAAGAAAAGCTAAAACAAAGAAAAGGGCTTCATGTGGTGGCCCTGATTCAGAACAAGTATTCATGGTTTATTCAAATGAATATGATAAAGAGGAAAATATTTATGAATGTAGATGGTGATGAAGCGGTATGGAAAGTTGCATATCGTATGGAAATTTATAATGAAACAGAGACTTGCAAGACGATGTTCAATGCAAGTACTACGGCCTACAAACGTTTCAAAAAATGGTACTTTAATAAAATATATGAACATAAAAATCTCATACATAAATTTTCTCTTAATTGGTTCGTTGGGGGGGGAGTTGGAGAGGCAGGGATCATGCAGAGGAAGAAAAGACAAAAAAATATGCAAATTTTCCATTTGTACATAAATGGATTTGCCAGAAAATTGCCTGAACACTCGCAAGGGGGTGGCCCCATGTGAGTAAAATATTGCCAAAAAAGGGGCCCCACCCATGTGTGTTCGGTTGCATTTCTGTATTGTTCTGTACACACAGCAAAACTCAAAAATTTGAGAGTTTGGGAAGGATCATGCGAAGGTAGAAAATACTTCAAATTTTTCACACTCATGTTCTTTATAATTTTTTTTTTTTTTGTTTTTGTGGTTAAGGATGATTTGATTTATTTAAATTGGTATAAAACTGTGATAACCTAGAGGCTAGATCTTCGAAAATTACCTATTGTGTATTCTTATTCGAGTGTAAGTTTAAATTTCAGAGTTGAAACTCAAGTTCTTAAATCTCAAAAGATGTGAATAAATTTGGATAACTAAAAATGACAATTTCAGTCCACCTTTCATGGAATAATTGACTTAGAAAAATTAATTGGACCACCAAACAATAAAATTAGACGAAATTTAAATCCAAGATCAATAACGTATATAGACTAAGGCCTATTTGATAGGCTCTTTTTTTTCCATGGACCACTTTTGCCATGTTTGATGGCACTTTTTTTCTCAAGAATTGATTATCTTGGTTTGCCATCACGTGACCCATTTTCTTGGTTTTAGATGAAATTCAATTCCCACCTTTTAGGTGGGTTTTGGTTTTCCATCTTTTTTTTTTGTTGCAATAGAAACAAATTCTATCCCCAATTGTGAAAATTATCCTTTTAATTGACAATTTTCATGTAAAAGTTAAAACAAAGCCAAACGAACACTAAAAATTTTTCAAATTTTTTTTTTTTTTTGCAATCCAAATAAATTATATCCCTTTAATTGACAATTCATGAAAAACAAAATCAAACAAATACAAAAAGATAGAAAATTTCAACATTTTCAGGTGAAAAATTATACTAATCATACACAATTAATTGTCAATTCTCAATAAAACAAGTTCTAGACAATTCAATTCTCTGCAATTCGTTTTTTTTTCCACCCAAATTCTATCTTTGAATCACACGGACCCTAATACTTTATGGAAAATTTCACAATAAAATGAGGTCAAGCAGGTCTTCTAATTTTGTCGAAACTGCAGACACCGCGTGCAGGAAATTGCCCAAACAATAAGATTGACTTAGAAAAATTAATTGGACCACCAAACAATAAAATTAGGCGAAATTTAAATCCAAGATCAATAACGTATATAGACTAAGACTTGTTTGATAGGCCCCTTTTTNTTTTTTTTTTTTATTTTAAAAAAATTTTTATTTCTTTTTTTTATTTTTTTTTTTTTTTTGTCCATTTTTTTTTTTTTTTTTTCCATGGACCACTTTTGTCGTGTTTGATGACACTTTTTTTTTGTCAAGAATTGGTTATTTTGGTTTGCCATCATGGGACCCATTTTCTTGGTTTTAGATGAAATTCAATTCCCACCTTTTAGGTGGGTTTTGGTTTTCCATCCTTTTTTTTTTTAATTTTGGTTGCAATAGAAACAAATTCTATCCCCAATTGTGAAAATTATCCTTTTAATTAACAATTTTCATGTAAAAGTTAAAACAAAGCCAAACGAACACTAAAAATTTTTCAATTTTTTTTTTTTTTTTGCAATCTAAACAAATTATATCCCTTTAATTGACAATTTTTATGAAAAACAAAGTCAAACGAATACCAAAAGATACAAAATTTCAATATTTTTCAGGTGAAAAATTATACCAATCAAACGCAATTAATTGACAATTCTCAGTGAAACAAGTTCTAGATAATTCAATTATCTGCAATTCGTTTTCTTTCCACCCAAATTTCATATTTAAATCACACAGACCCTAATACTTTATGAAAAATTTCACAATAAAATGAGGTCAAGCATTTATGGTGTAAGTTAAGTTAGTTTACGTGACATATTTTTGTAACTATGCTCGCTCACGATATTTATTAACTTTTTTTTTTTTTTAATGGTTTTAGACGAGGGTTTTTGGGCCACTCACCTAATTATGTACGGAGTTTGGCATGATGTCTAACATGCTTTATTATTATTATTCATTAAGATAGTACGAAAATTGTACTTGAAGATTTATTTTATATAAAGCATTATGGCATGCTTCGTGATGCTCATAAAATAACATTGAATATATTGACAATGATCATGCTGCATAATAAAACAACAAATATTTTTATAGTACCTAAAGATACAAGCTAGATATATAATATCAATGAAATTATTGATGAGAATTAATTCTCGAAATTCGAATGCTAATCAATGAGTTTTAATTGTCACTACATTATATGCTAATCAATTTATGATTGATTGAGTGGATATCTACCTAATTTAGGTGTAAATATGTTAATTGCAGGTAAATCTCACATTTCGATGCAAATAGCATGAAAAATGGGATTTTGGAACTAAATCAAAGTTGATTTAGAATAATTGATGATCAACCGAATTACAGTTGATAGATTGGAAGCTTCAATGGAGCAACTGTAGGTGATTCACAAGTTTCGGGAACTAAATCAAACAATTGAAAAAGTTCAAGATTAAGGCCCTGTTCGGGAGGGCTTAAAATCCAATTAAAATTGAAAATATGGCCGTTATTGGGTCCCACCCGTCTAATAAAAGTCAACAATAACGGCTATATTTTCAATTTTAATCTGATTTTAATCCCTCACAAACAAGCATAAAAGTTCAAGATTAAGGCCCTGTTCGGGAGGGCTTAAAATCCAATTAAAATTGAAAATATGGTCGTTATTGGGTCCCACCCGTCTAATAAAAGTCAACAATAACGACTATATTTTCAATTTTAATATGATTTTAATCCCTCACAAACAAGCATCTTTAAATTATAAACTTTCATCATATCGACTATGGATGATTGAGGATTGAATTATAAAAAATTTAAAGATGGATAACTAAAGGTGCAAAGAAAAAATAACTCAAGTTGGCTGAAAGAGAGAAATCAGGGACCAAAATGCAAATTAAAAATTATTTATGCTTGTGGTCGCAAGGACCACAGATGGAGCAGCCAATTTCATTGGCCACTTAACTCGAAACCAATTGGGGCACTTATTTTGACCTAATTCTGATACATATATATGCACACATGTCCACAGATTAGAGGAGAGTCATTCATACAAAATTTCACTCTTTTTAAGAAGCTTTCATTACAAATTCCATTCCATTTTATTTCATACATCTATTGTTATGAGGCTCCAGATATAACTCACGTAGCATCTCACGTGGAACCTACTCAAGGAATAAGCCTCATTACCCACAACCATTGTCACCAATAGTTTGACCAAAGTCAAAGACAAAATAAATCTTACGACAAAATTTTTCGAAGCTCATCATCAAAGCGGAGCGAGAAATGAAGAACCACCGAAGCGGTTGTGGTTTGGAGGCTCAATTCAAAGCTCACACTTGAAATGGGGTGACCCACCTCCTTCAAAGATCTGCTGTAGATAAAATCTTTTTCGAATGATTGATGTAACCTTTGTAATAAGAGATATGTCAAATCCTATCAACATAGATTGTAAGATGATTGCCCTTTTAAGAACAATAAATGCGCCATAGTATTCGTTATCCATGTGTACGTACAAAGATTGAGGTTAACATGGAGTACTTGAAGATAGGGGTGGGCGCGGTTCGTTTCGGTTCGGTTCGGTTTTGTCGGTTCCAGAAATTTTCGGTTCTTTAGTAAATGGAACCGTCGGTTCCAAATATAATTTTGGAACCGTTCGGGTTCGGTTCGGTTCGGTTCGATTCCGTACTATAATTAATTTTTTTAATATTTAAAATAATACTACATAAATATACTTGAAAGTAGATACTAATATTAGCCCATGTTTGGAGGGCATTTTTTTCCCATTTCTAGAAATTTTCTTACAGTTAGACATGGGGCCAGCCGAAATATTTGACAAACTTGTGAGAGGGAGGGGCCCACTAATTTGAAAAAAATGGTACAATTCTTCATTTTTTNAGAAAAAATAAAATAAATTGATTTATCAAAAAAAATTCGGTTCTTATTCGGTTCATCGGTTCTAGGTCTAGAACCGAGAACCGAACCAAAATTTTTCGGTTCTTTGGGTTTTTAAGTTAAGAAAACCCGCTCGGTTCGGTTCGGTTCAGTTCGGTTCGGATATTTTGCCCAGCCCTACTTGAAGAAGGAGAAGAAGAAGATCAATACAACCACTGAAGAAAATAAAGATTCAAGTCTATTTTCCATATTTCTTTCCAATCTTCAATTTCAAGTGATGTTGTAGCGATTTTGCTGTAGTTATTGTAAATATTATGATTCTTGGCTCGTTGTTTATATGTTAGGATATCATTGAACCATACTTTATGCCATTTTGATTTTAATTCTATGATTTTGATATTAGATAATTGTTCGGTTTGAATATTTGTTATAATCTCGTTTCTTTCAATTAACGACTACTAATTAAATTGTTGTATGGTTCTTATTGACTTTCAGAAGAAGGAATATGAAAGATGGCATGTAATTCATTCATTATGACGTTCTATAGACGTTAGAGATGATTTTCTATGTTTTGTGATCCAAATAGATATTCTTGTAATTTTAATTTATCTTTGCATGTTCGCATTTTGGGATGAGAACATTACAAGGTTGTCTGAAAATATATCTAATTCTACTCAGGAGATATTATTCGATAATTAGGAACATTGATCTTCAAACCAAATAAGTGTTGTCAAATTTGAAATTGATATTGAGATGGAAAAATATAGTGGGATATAGAGTCCTAGTGCTTTATCAGTTAATTAAGTTTCACAAACGTTTCCTACCATTTAAATTAATTAGTTTAGTTAGATTAGTTTTAGGTTGTTTTGTACAAAATATCCAATATTTCTATTGTGTTTCTATTTGATTAAGGTTAGGTTAATTGAAAAGTAGAATGTATACTTATTCTTTGTGGGGTTGTTACTTGTACTCAAATGCACTTCATTACTGATTTACGATACATACATTTGCATGATATAATAAAATTCGACAACGATATGCATTGTTGGTTTCCTCGACTTACAAGGTGGATTGGGGATTCGAGGGTAAATCTTCTCCAACACGTGCCATCAAAATATTAGTTTTAGTATTCCAATTACCTAATTATTTTAATTAGAATTATTATATTAATTTTCACAAGTTTAAAGTTGAGTGACAATAACTATAATTTACCTTTTCTGCATTTCAGAATGACATGAGATAGAGTGGATAGAGACATTGAATTAAGTGAGTGATGAAATCAAACTTTCCGTTCTAGTCAAATATATTAAAATGCATATACAACTTTTAAATTATTGTTTGGATTAATAGATAAACATAGTCAACAGACAATAATTTAATATAAACTAAAACGCCAACAATACCACTCTAACTCATAGCTGGGACAACCACCTTAGTTCCTATTTTTATTCATATATTACATTATTTGACAGGTACATGAACTTCAATACAGCTGAGTTGAAATCAGTTTTTTTTTTATCGACTCATTCCTTCTTCAACAACTGGAGCCAATCCTGTATCAGTATTATGTTTCTCCACATTTCCATGCCATCCTGTAATGCAAGAAAATAAACTCATGAATTCTAACTCACAAATCCCTATTTTTTTAAACGAGTTGATGGCGTAGGCATTATTCGAGGAGAAGCAATACATTGGGATTCACGAGGATGAGTGCTATGAGCTTATAGAATTCAATAGGAATTTCGTAAAGTTGATAAGTATGAGTGTTATGACTAATTTGATGAGTAGATTTTTTTGCCATTCCTTATGTATGTGAAATGATAATATTCATAAATTTTTTTGAAGTAATTTGTATATCAACCATTGATCCCCACAATTATATGCACTTCTTTGTGAATTAAAAATAAAATAAAAAAATCCAATCTACTTTCATTTGCTATTTTCCCCTAAATTCCTTGGCTCCTCCATTATGAGTGTGTGCTTGTGGTGGTTGGGGAGGGGGGGGGGGGGGGGGGGGGGGGGGGGGGGGGGGGGGGGGGGGGGGGGGGGGGGGGGGGGNGAGAGAGAGAGAGAGAGAGAGAGAGAGAGTTACCAATGGTCATATCAAAACCACGGATTTTGAGTTCTCGATACTCTTGACACAAGGCACAAGACTCGCAAAAGCAATGAACGCAGCAATCCCCACATGGGGATTCATGCAGAACATGCTGTTTCCTCATTTTTGATCGATAGAAACATGAATAAAAGCATGGACAGCAAGTCACACAAGCTAGAATTGTGTAAAGGGCTCCACTCTGTCCACAGGCTGCACCAAAAAAAACAATTTAATAACTCAGTTTTCAACACTTTGTATACATTGATAATGAAATTAATATCAATTTATTTTGTAGTGAATTCAAGAACAAAGACTTACAACTTGATCCTTTGTCGACAATCTCAGCAATCCGTCCGAAAGTAATACATGGACACCAGCATGTTATGCAACCTGAAAATTTCAAAACAAGTTCTTAACTAGCTACAAAATTCAGAAAACAGAATGATCTTCACACTGACAGAGCGTCTGATTCACGCTCCACTGTGGAAACTTACAATTCCGGACATCTGAGAAGCAGTCAAATAGGCCAGTGGACCAAGGAACTTTAGGCTTGGGTGGAACATGAACATGAACATGTGGTTGGGGGATATCAGAGTAGTATTGGCCAGATGAACTGACTGGAATCCCAGTTGCTGCATCGTTTTCTGGCGTTGCCGGAGGCGTCGTGAGTTCTGTGTATTTCTGGTACTGTGTTGTGTTAGAAGCATACATGGTCCAAGTTTCTCAGATCTTTTAATTGGAAGGAAAGGTGATTGGATTAGGAATGGAAACAAAGAGAAAAGGTGATTTTTGTGCATAACAATTTGTAGCAATAAATAGAATAAACAATGTCGGACTGAGTCAACTTGGCAGAAGCAGCGTGTATTGGGGGGTTTGTAGCTATTGACTCGAATTCCAATTTAGTAATATCAAGGAAGGTTCCTTCACCTTGTTTGTAGCATTCTAGCACTTAAACCAATAGGTGTATTTCAAATTGGTAGTTAAACTTTAATTTGTACCAAATATATCATCCAACATTAGACTTTGATTCACATCAATAGGGTTGGTAAATGGCCCCGGTCCCGTCCCATTCGGTCAAGAAATTGGAGCGAGGACATTTAGCTTCTTTATTTTTTATTTTTGGAACCAAATTATGTCTTATTTTTTATTTTTAAATTTAAATCTTCACTAAATTGTTGGCATACAAAAAGTGCAACCCAAATTGAATAGTGTAAGGAATGAAGCCTAATTAGAAAATCCAAGATGAAGACCCAAATATGACCATTGATGAGTGCAGTAGAGGCCCACGAACAAAGTAACATCATTGCCCAAACTCGCAAGACGCCCAGAATTTGAGCGAATGGAGTGCCTTACGGTCGCCCAAAGCGATGATCCCGTTCTTGCTCAAACCCTCTAGTCGCCTAGGAACTGAGCGAATCTAAGGTATTGTGGTTATCCAATACAGCAGGAAGCGATTATTGAGCAATCTTATCACACCCCACGATCCAAAAATTCCGGTTATAGGCAGTTAAACGACAGAGTAAGGGCAACAGTTAGAGACAGCACTTCCACGACAAATCAGCCATCATGAGGAAAGTTGGTAGTTATAGAGTATCAAACAGTTTTTTACGAAGAAACTATCAAGAAATTATAAAAAGGAAAGGAAGACATAGAGAAAAGGATCTCGAATCAAATACTCTCAATAGAGAATATGTAATTTCAATTTCTTAGTTTAACTTTAAAACACATCTTTTAGTATTCGTGTGCTTGTGCCCTTTGCAGGCATTCTGTTTATTTTCAATTGTACTCTTCATCAATAAAACACCACTTTTTGGGACTTTGTTTCAAGAGATTTGTTCCTTATACAATCGTCTGATCCTTTTTTAATTGTTAGCGATAACCCGTGTGAAATAANTTTTAATTGTTAGCGATAACCCGTGTGAAATAATTTGACACGCCCAGTGGGATAAGTAGAGAGAGAGAGAGAGAACATATTTTTATCCTCGTCATGCATTGCCTTCAGAAAATTCTTGAGTGGGTGGGGCGGGAATGGATCCAAGATCGATCTAATTTTTGTTTTTCTTAAACCGTGCTAATATTTCAAAAAAATAAAGAAGTGTTTATATATATAATTTATTTATTTACATACAAAATTGAATTGGTTTGGGATTGAACTAGCTAAAGCCCAGCCCAATCCCCCAAATATGCCAGTGGAGTGGGCGGGTGTGGAGGGTCGTCCCAATCCTGCACTATCATTCATCATCTAACTACAAAATTATTCCCATTAATCAATATGTTAATCTTCTTCCAACACAAAAATTCTCAACTTGAATTAGGATCAATCCAAGAAATTTTTAAGGGAGTTACCCCTCAATTATGGCAAAATAAAGAATGTTATCTAGCAAAAGTTATATTAGAGAATCAGTTTAGTAGATATGCTTAATATGTTCAATTAAATTAATGATGTGACAATGCATTTAAGTTGATCTATCATTTAATATCATATAGTTGTCACTAGACTGTTGCTTGACACCAGTGATGGTGAATCGCATTACTCCAAAATAAATGGTCTTTCTATTCTTGAAATTTAGCCCCTATTCGGTACCTATTATTTCAAGAATAAAGAGTTTTGAATGGTATTTTTAGGAGATTAATGTGTGGCTTAAAAGTAAGGAAAAAATTTAGATTTACTTGTAAAATATTTTATTTTGTGAATGTGTGGTTAAAAATGATCGTGTAGCAAAAAGAGTTTTAAAATAGTGGGTACCAAACATGGGCTTAGCATAACTTTTAAAACGGAACTACTTTAGTGACTAATTTGAAACAAAAATTAAAGTTCGGTGATTAATTTTAGTTAAAGTAAATGAAAAAGAAGAAGTTAAAGATGGTTCACTAATTTGCAATAAATTAAAATTGATGAGTGACCAAATCGAAACCTACATATAAGTACAGTAACCAATTACGTGTTTACCTTAAATTCACTAAAAATTGCTAGTACCGTTGAATTCAGAAGTCGTTCATGATAAGAAAGTGATTTTGGTTTGAACTGTCAGGATAGGGGAAATTGCACCATTGGTTCTTAACTTATCCTCTTAATCCTCAATCACCTCTTAATTATAATTAATTGGGTCCAGTCCATTATGAATTCGTTTCCATTAAAATTAAATTTTAGCCTTGCTTTTTGAGACCAATGTTTTCATGCAGCAACCGAAAGGAAACACGCTCAGAGCTTTGCTTCATGTACAGAAACCAAACCCACAGAATTTCATCAGAATACTCACACACGTGAGTCCCGCACAAATGTTTTTTTTTAATACACGGTGGGGCCTGCATATTGTGAGTTTTCTGGTAAAATTCTGTGGGAAGCTTTCTGTACATGGGGGAAAGCTGACACGCGCAAGCACAAAAACAATATTTTGGTTTCCTCAAGTTTAGGGTCTATTAGATGATGATTTATTTGTGTTCCAAGGACATGTTTGGCGTCGAGCGTTGCATTAGCACTTGATTTTAGGCACAAGTCTTCAGAAGAAAACATTGTATTGGCGACTTTTAAAACGTTAAATAACTCTTGATGTTACAGTATTGCTTTATTGTTTGCACAATGAGGAGAAAAATCATATTGTTCCCAACCTAATTTGTATATCCATTGCACATGTATTCATGTATCGTACATGTAGAAGACTAAATGTCACATGAATTAACTTGCCTAAATAAATAAAATTTATATTTTCCCTTTAAACTCCAACGATCAAGTTTTCGTTGCAATTTTATATCATCATTTGTTAATTCTTCAATAAGATGTTATATAAAAGTTGATCCAAACTCAAAATATTTGTCTTCATAAGAGGAACAAAATAAACATTGAAAATGTGTTGGTGTTCTCCGTTCTTCATTTGGACGAGTTTTTGCTTTTATCCTTGACTTGTATCTTCAAATCATCTCGAAGTGTATCGTGACCATTTAGTTCTTCAAGTTCCATGAAGTTGGATTTGTCTTTACACATGATTCTCTGATGTCTAAGTACTAAAAATTGTTGCCTTCTTCTCGCGCCTTTTACACCCAAGAGAAAAGTTCTTCCTCCTTATCTTTATTTTTAACGTAGTTGGACTTACTTCCATGCAAAATGACCAAGCATGTGACAATTGCAACATTCATCAATTGTACATGTCTTCATTAATTAGAATACATACATCACATTTATTTTACCACATGAAACTGACATTTCACAGCTGCATTCTTAATAAACACAAATAAACATTTGCATTTGAAATGACAAATTGAAATGTTCATAATCTTTCTTGATAAGTAGACAGTCCTATGACATTACTTAAAAGCATAAAAACTATTTATACCACTCAAACGAATGGCAAGCATCACCACACCAGCTTATTTCCTCATTCCTTCTTCCATGGTTGGTGCTATTGCCACTTCAGTACCACCATTCGCAACTTCTCCACGCGATCCTAAAACAATATTCATGTGAAAAATTAATATAGCAAGTAGATCAAATAATGACATGATACGTTAATGCATGGATATTTTATTCTACGTAACTAAGACTGTGTGATACTAGAGAGATAAAAATGGCCAGGCTGTTTGAGCACGGAATGGCCTTGCAAGGCCTAGAATAGATCGTGCAATGCGACAGCATTCCGATAAACACGACACAAACATATAGTATATAAGGATGAAGTGGGTTAACACATATATATTCTCGTTTAGAAATAGGAAAAGAGAAAAGAGAGCAAAAAAGAAAAAGAAAAAATCCAACAATCCATCATATCCCTGGCAACCTCCAGTCTCTTCATCTTTTGGAGCCATATAAGTTATATTCTTCATTCCGTGAATAATGATCAAACTAATTAATGTTAACTAAGATAATACATGTAGCAAGATGAGTTTGAAACTTCCTGTTTCTTTAGCAGGAGATACATGGAAATCTACTAGGAAAAGTGATAAGTTGACTATGTGAATGGGGTTAACATGATTCTATTCAGACGGTTTTTAAACTATTTTCACATCAAATCATTTTAAACTGTTTCAAAAATTACAAACCAAAACAAACCATTTAATATTTCAAATCGAACCATTTTTGGTTGTTTGATGTGGTTTCAAATGATGGTTTTAGAGATATAAAAATAACATCTTACACCCCAGTGGCCAAGCCCAATAATTTTTTTCAGGGGTCAAGAAGTAAGTTGTAATATTTATTGAAACAACAAAACATTAGTAGAGAGTTGAGACTTGAGAGATGGGACGAGGTGGTCTAGTGGTAAAATATTTGTATTCGATGCTGGCATTAATGAGTTGAGTAGTGATAGATGTTAGATTTTGATTGAATTGACAAACCCTAGATATGAGGGAGGAACGAAAAATTAATTAGTGATTTCAAAATTGGGCTTTCAAGTAAAATGATGTGCACAGTGCTCAAAACAGTGGATGACTAAAAATTAAAAATTTAGGGAAAAAAAATCCCATGATGAACACAATCCAGTATATGTTTAAAATGTTGGACTTTTAAGGATTCTGTCATATACATATAATGCACAAAGACTCTGCACATTTTCCAACTAACATAACTATTACTCTTCCAACCAGTTACTAACACCTACTTATTACTTTGATACACAAGACAACTCTAGACTATGAATTATTTTAGGGCAAGAATTTTTCTAGACATGGACTATTTCAGAATGTGGACTCTTTTTTCAAGTGAAAATGATATCTCCCAT